CACACACTCACACACTCACACACTCACACACACATAGCGAGAGACTCGGCTGCACACTCACTTTCACAAGGACCTTTATGAGAGTTTGTGAGTGTTTCAGCGATGAATCACACAGGATTTCTTCCTCTCTCTGCTCCGAGTTCACTCGTGTAATTGCAAAGACATTTTTGTACAGCTGATCAGCACAGGTATTATAGTTCAAAAATAATAACTGTGCACCTTTAAAGATATAAAGGATTTATTCATCCTCATATTGTTCAAATCATATAAAAGGAGATGTGTCTCTTTTGCATGCAGTGAATGTGAATGCAGAGAGGCTGTTAAGATCCAAGCATGACAAGTGTATGTGTGAGCCTAAATCACTATTTGAAGCTCTTTCTCAGGGAGCACAGCTGTATGTTTGGACAGGAGGAGGAAACCGACAGCAAAGAGAAAGGAGGAGGACAAGAAGCGTCCAAAACACACCTGATCCTGGCCTCCACATTTACCTGAATGAATGCTGGAGCAGGAATAAATCAGTGCTTCACGAACACTCAACACTGAACTGTATTTTCAAGAAGCGAAAACATTCACTTACATAACCTGCAGAGATCTGGAGCCGCTCAACGGACACTTAGGAAAAATATTTGCATAGTAAAATTTAAAACGAGCCTCAAGTACAACAGGATTCATTATTAACCAGATTTACAAAGGGACAAGAGTCAATTCCCCCCATTCCCACTGAGAAATGTGCAGAATCACTGACAACACAAGTGTAAAAGTGTAGAATCACACACACACAAACAAACACACTTACTTTCTAACCTCTTACTCTAACCCTACACCTAAACCTACCCATCACACAAAACTACAGGCATTTCACATTCTTAAAACACTTCATTCTGTGTGATTTATAAGCTTGTTTCCTCATGGGGACCAAAACATGCCCTCACAAGGTCAAAATTTACTGGTATTACTTTACTTTTGGGACATTTGTTCCTCATAACCTAGTGAATACCAGTACACACACACACACACACAGACACACACACACACACACACACACACACACACACACACACACACACACACACACTTTCTCTCACACACACTCACTCACACACAGACACACACACAATTTCTCTCACACAAACACATACACACACACACTTTCTCTCTCTCTCACACACACACACACACACAAAGACACACACTTTCTCTCTCTCTCACACAAACACACACACAGCTGCTCACATGTTCTCTAGAAGTCATTTGCATATATTTGCCTGTAGGCTGGAGCTCAAACAAACGCAAAGGCAGTTTTGGGTAAAATCTGTCTTCGGTTGAATGAACTCACTGCAACCGTCCTTATCTGAGTCACAAAAGACGTTCCACCACCAACAGCCAAAACACACTCAAACACAGCGCTGTGTCAGCGTCACACACCAACACAACAACATCTCAAAGCACATAACTCAGCCCTTCATTCATTCAGCTCATTCTTCTGCAATGATGCTCACAGCAGCCTTCTGACCAAAAGCACAATCCAAAAACAGATCCAGACACCAGCAACCTTCTGTTCAAATATTATGTTTACCACTGTTTACTGACATCTTCAAAACCACAAATGACACAAAACATCCTCTCAATCACACGATCGAGCGATGAGCACATCTGGAGCGACTGAAGATTGCAAGGATTCTCAATAGCAACCTGTGTGTGTGAGACCGAGAGAGAGGATGTGTGTCGCTTAAAGACCAGACCTGTCTGCTCTTTTGCATTTTTTCATTCACCATTTATAATCATAATCATAATAATTCTGAGCTAACTTCAAACTTAGAGGGAGGCTGAGAGACCTACAGTATGTGCGCTGTAATCAGGTCAGCGCTGATGACACTAGAACTCAGAGCTAGCACAGGACCGCTAACACTCAGAGCTAGCGATGGACCGCACACACTCAGAGCTAGCGATGGACCGCTCACACTCAGAGCTAGCGATAGACCATTAAAACTCAGAGCTAGCGATGGACCGCTCACACTCAGAGCTAGCGATGGACCGCACACACTCAGAGCTAGCGATGGACCGCTAAGACTCAGAGCTATCGCAGGACCGCTAAGACTCAGAGCTAGCGCAGGACCGCTAAGACTCAGAGCTAGCGCAGGACCGCAAACACTCAGAGCTAGCGCAGGACCGCTAACACTCAGAGCTAGCGATAGACTGCTAAGACTCAGTTCTAGCGCAGGA